TTGAATGTAGATACCACACACACAGGAAACATTAAAAATGCTTTCAAGTAAAAAAAGTCGAAGTGTGCGTCCCATCCTTTTGTAACTGCTCTGTGTGCCTTTGAGTTCACTTATTTGACGAACCATTTGGACTTGGTACTATTTTTGCTCTTCATAAGAAATTACATCATGCTCGTGAGTGTGCAGTATTCATTCAAATCAACGATAAAAGACCTCGTTTGGCGTTCATAGACTTTCGATCTAGAGCGTTCAACAAGGGTCATTTCAACATGAAGATGTAAGTTATTTTTATATTAATTTAAATGAAATTCTGGAGTTACTTATAATTTAAAAATGTTTATACAGAAATATAAAGTTCATTTTTATAATAAAGGTCTTGAATTATCTGAAATGTTTTATTTTTATTTTTTTGCGATGAAGTCCTGTGGTGTCATTTATTGCAGTCTTTTTTTTTTCTCTCATTACGCAAATAACGGTAGCAAAAGATCGCCTCCTTTCAAAATCTCAATCGCTGTCTGCAATCCGACCAACGGCTTCAGTCGTCTTTTGCTGAGAAGATCTGCAGAAAGACTTTTGGGTGTGGGTTCAGAATCCTTATTTTCAAGTCCCATGTGAGTCGTTGGTAGGCTTGTTGGGGACCGATGCACCAAATTTCTTACTATTTCAATACTATCGACGAAACAAAGTACAAACTTCGAAAATGGTGAGATGAATGCATTTTTTATATTTTAATAAAATGTGAAAAAGACATTTATCTCGTCATTTGGGATAAGTTTGAACTTTGTTTCGTCGGTAGTATTGAAACAATAAGAAATTGTTTTAATAAAAATTCTTTTTAATTGGACGTGATGAATGTCTTTTTCCCAGGGCTCTCACCAGAAATCCTGGTCCCGATTAGGCATACGATTGGGACAACGAAAGGCTTTGGTATTGTATCATGCATGATAATATGCATATGCTCAAATGATCACACACATGAGTACACGCCTCTTATCTCTCCTCTTCGTTTCGATACGACCTTGCATAATAAATTAATTTGCAATAAAATTAATAAGAAACGTGCCAAGGAAAGGCAAAGTGAAACTGATCGAAACAAAAAGACTACGTTCTATGGTACCGTATTCATGTATTCGCTTTCTTGGGTTTTTCCTTAGAATATCGCGAGAGGATTCCCAATGCTCAAAAGTATCGAGAAATAAGCTAAGCAACGTGTTGTGGCAAACCTTCTTTCATTTTGACATACTCACGATAAACAGACATGGGAGACGACTTACGGAGAAAGAAAGAGGAAAAAAGCAACGAAAGAAGAATTTTCCTGCGGCAGATAACCGCTTTGCTCCGAAAAATGGAAAACTTTAACCTCATTAGCAGTTGTGAGTAGGAATTCGAGTCCTTATTAATTGCCCGCATTAATATTGTATTACTGCCAGCGAAAAGAACAATTTGCGCAAGAGGCGCGCTTTAAAAGAGCCTTTTGTTTCTCGAACGTTTTTTGTTGTTGTTTCCCTTCTTTGTTGCTGCGAACCATTTTTCCCAAACCGAATGCATCGCTTCCGATGTTTCGAGTGCAGCCAGGAATTTTTTACCCACTTTTAATTTCTCATTTCTGGTTATTTGAATGAAGAGATAAAATAGTGGAAAGATTATAATTAAAACGGCAAATTGCTAATGAATGATGGAAAGGATTGCAGCTGCGAGAGCCTTAAAAATAAGTTTTTAAAACATAATGGAGGAACTATATTCAAAGCGTTATGTGCTTTCGATTATCCTACTTCCAAAAAATTATTATTCATACATCGTGGTTTTGTAGCGTGTTCTCAACGTGTATTTTTGAACTTACTTCAGTTTATTGTTCTCGAGCATGAGTTACTACTTAAAAGGAATCCTTATTAATAACTTTCATTTATAGATAATGTATCATATATATTATTTCTAGACGGATTTTATCTAATTAAAATCTAAAATGCGTTCATTCGTATAAATGTGGTTGAAATTTTTAACAGAGAAAACATAAAAACAAATATTAACATAGATTAAAAAAAACGCAGATATTCACTCGCATTTATAATACTGTCGCCATTTGATGAGACATAATTTGAAGTTCTTAATGAAAAAAATTCGTAATTAAGTTAGTAATTAAAAAAAATTTTAACTGCTTTTCTTCTCTTTGAGAAAAAAAAAATCTATCCTGTTAACAGTTTTAACTACTTCTTTCCTAAAACTTTAGGTTTCTGATTCATATGAATTCATTAAATGTGTTCAACACGCATTTATTTATCATTAATTAAAATGCTGATGAATAATTATAAAATAACTTTTCATGTTTGGATCCAATACTCAGCAAAGAAGAAACTACGATGAAGTTAATATAATCAAATCTTATAAATACTTAGAGTAAACATTTCTCCAAGGGCTTGCCTTCTTCTTGAAGGTACGGGCATCATGACCCTGAGGTACTCTGGTGACCTTTTTCTGTCCCATAGAGTTTGCTGTCTTTGGGGGGAAAGGAGTGATGTGCCAGCGGGATAGCATAGCGATCTCTCTCTATTTTCGAACCTTTTTCACGTCAACCAATTTTTACCTTTTTTTTTTATTCTTCCATCAAAGGTCTCGTCTTGTTTGTTTGTTTTTACGTCGCACTAGGAGAAACACGAGTTAATAGTGAGAGACTCTTAATTTTGAATCTCGGTCAAGCGACGAGGACGACATCTGAGATGCCCTCCATCTCCTAACTTCCACACCATTCAACGGGAGAACTTTGGATCCCGACCGATTAGCCCCGGCTACATGGAGGGTCTTCAGCGGTATCAAGGCTCGAATCTATGACTCAACGAAAACCGCTGGCCACGAGTCCGCTGCGATATACACTAGGCTACCGTGGTCACAAGATCTCGTCTAGATGAATGATAAGCATTGCTTTATTTGGTTTTATAGGATATAGGGCAACAAACTCTAGTATCCCATAGATATATATTGTTCGGTACAACATAGCTAGATTTAGTGACTATGGAGTCTTACAGTGCGCTCTTGGCAAATTTTGTTACAGTTCTCATATTGGTATGGTGCGGAAGTTAAAAAAGTGGAGCGTTAGTTCAGGTGTCCTCCTCGTCTCTTGAACATGGCTCAAAATTTCGAGATAAGCTGCTAATAGCCTTAAGTTGCTTCTAGTGAGATGCCAATAAAACCCATCTGTTCTGAGTGAACTTATGATTCGTTCCGAGAAATAATGAGGGGAGGAGGTTCTGTACATTCAGTTCTTTCTAAGTGTTTACGTAGAGGTGTGGGAGAGTGAAAGAGAGAGTGTGTTATATATGAACTCAAATGTCATCTTAGTCATCTGATTATGTCCAAAAATTATAAGATTCTTCGTTAATATTCCTTGTGTTGCTCTACAAGGGATGTTCATTTTGATCTGAACCTATACCCTGCTCAAGAGCCAATTGATCTATTTTTCAAGGATAAAGGAAGCGGTATTCACTGAAATATCTTAGAATACTAAATTATAAGTTATTTATTTATGTATAAATTTTGCTTAAGAAAAGAAAATCTTCATCCCTATCTTTGAAAATTTTAATAGCTTTTATAACGAGTTATTTTTCGATACCTTTCATTCCATGTTTGCTTAAAAGTTAATCCTTTTTTTATGCCATTGATTCATACCGAATAATATCACTAATTGTTTTTAGTAATATTAAATGAGAAATCCTTAATATTTTTATTCGCTATTTACTGTCCACGTATTGAATTTTGCAAAATTTAAGTGAAAATATAAAGTGAGTGTTAGTAATTTTTTTTTAATGGTGCAAAAGCTAAATGTGGCTATGCTGCGCCAAACAATGTAAAGCTGTGATCTAGCCGTTTGAAATTTTTTTTCTTCAAAGGAAGGTCGAAAATAGAGAAAGATCAAAGGGTATCCCAGAGTCGCGTCATCCGTGTTTACCAAATACAAAATTATCAGATGAAGAGGCTAGCTACGCGATACCAAATTTAAAACATCACATAAAAAGATTTTATCGTTGGTAATATGCAAACTATAAATTCTAGAAGTAAATAATTAACAGACTTAGACTCACATTCTAACAATTCAGTATCTTGAACAGTTTTGAATTCGACGATGAATAAATTGAAGTAGTATGACACCTGAGACTCTCTCTACTTAGATAAAAAAAAAATTCTTTATAAAGCATAGATTATCAAATATTTCTACACAAAATCTTAAATAAAACTTATATTTGTATTATACTTGTATGAATAGGCTGACCACACATTTAGCTTCTTTTCCTCATCACCCAAGTTTTATTTAGTAAAGAAGTTGTAAGACAAATCCATATTTACGTCATCTCATTTTGGGTTAATTGTTAAAATCAAATAATAATAATAAAAAAGAATTTAACATGATCTCTCTGCTATATATTGGAACTGAATGAAGAGATTTCAGGTAAAGGAGTTTGATAAAATTTCTGAATGGTACAGAATTCACGCTTTTGTTTCCGTTGACTACAACAATGCATCTCGTAACTATATAATTATTTCGTATGGATTTAAACGATGATAAACTTAATCTTTATAAGTAAGGTTCCACGAGTGAATGAATGTGAGGTTTTTGTTTGTGCAAAAGGTAAATTACCGCGAATCATAAATGTTTACTGAATCTGCGGCGACTAAATGTAATGAGTGAAATGACTAAGGAGAGAGTGAAAGTTGGTATTAAAGGTACAAGATCCAAACCTGAATATTCTGCACCAAACAATGTGTATCGATGATCTAGATGCTTCAAAAAAAAAAAGGGAAGAAAAAGTTGATATTGAGAAAAAATAGGAGGGTTTGTGAAAATAGAGTAGGATCACTAAGGTATTTTGGGGAAGCGTCCGGCGTCTTTACCAAAGATAGTAAATTCCATAGGAAAGAAAAAGACCACCAGGGTCCTTAGGGGTAATGGAAGCCCGTACTTTAATAAATAAAATAAGCTTCTGTGGGTTTCAAAAATAATATGAATGGCATGCGATGTTCCTATCTGGTCACCCTTCCAAGTACTGTCCGCACCCGATGACGGTTAACATTGGTGATCGGATGAGAACTGGTACTTTCAGCATGGTATGGTTGTTGGCATGAAAGTCAAATGTGTGATAGAATTCCGAGGGAATAGTCAGTTTCATCTCTTTTTACACCAGTATCAATAAAATTCTTCAAGAAATAATATTCAAATAAAATATTAATTTATCTAAACAGCTGTAGCTTGGTGCAGAATTCTGTTTAAAAAACTGCAAACTTGAGACTCGAGTGAGATTCGGAAGCCTGAAGAATTTGACAACACTTCCTCGTCACCTGCCAATCTTAAAATTATCATTCGTGTTGCCAGCAACACGTTTGTTGCTCTAATGCGATATTAACTTGAATAAATCAATTTAAGTTTTATTAATTCGCTTTTTCTCTCGGAATTAATGAATCTCTTCAGAGCAGGTTTCTTAACTTTCTCTCTTCGACACAGGTCTTGTCTACCGAATTATCACCACAATTCATATGTATATCTGGGTTAATATATTTAAATGTCTCTCTTTACTGTAACTCAATTCTGAGAAAGAGAGGTATTTTGTACTTTATTTTTTTAAAGTTAAGATGGGGAAGTAGACTTTGTTGTAAGAGTGCCGAAACTGATCGTTGCCATGTGAAAAATAATTATTTGTATTTTTCATTTTAGATAACTTTAAAAGGAATATTATAAATATGTGACTCACTATTTTTAACCCTTCTGAGTGATCGGTCGTAAGTCCATCTGAATACAAGTCGGGAAAGACAGTCAAAAAAGAACTTATTCATATTAATCTGTAATATATGTATATTTTAGTTCCAATTGTCTTTCTTACAGAAACTGAAAAATACATTTTTTTAAACAGAAATTTCTAGAGGTTCGTTCTTTTTCCTCCAGGAGTTTGATAAATTCAGAAAATCAATTCTTTTAAGAAATACGCAGAATCACGTTAAACTGTGGCAAGTGAGTCGTTAAAATTATTTATTAATATCAGTATGTTAAAAATGCAGACTGAGTAGACAGAATGAGTGCATTTGGATGACATTCTGGGTGTTACGTCACGGGTAGTAGCGCCGTTTCATCTAAATAGTCTAGACTTGAACAATAGCAAGAGTCGTCAAGGGGCCGGCTGACGAATTTCGCACTTTTAGATACAATTCTATTCTAGCATATTTTACACGATATTTCACAATTTCTCTTAGACAATAATATTTGTTGGTAAGACGAAGACCTTTTCTCATAAGAATTTCAGATAAAGGTAAAAAGTCATTAAATTTCCTTTCTTATGGTATTTATCTCGTACAATCCTAAAATCCAAATGATTTTGTAAAATAAATAAAAAGACTCTACATGAGAGCGTGCGTGAGTGATGGCGGAGTTTAATGGCGCAAGAGCCAGATGGGGTAATGCTGCCCCAAACAAGGTTTTATCTGGCCTAGATAAGGATCAGGCCTGACCAACCCGTGGTCCATGGGAGCTGAGTCATTTGAACAAAAATTTAAAAAATTTCTGTACATAAAAGTACCAAATAACATTCCACCATAAATCGTTCATATCACATGGGAATATTTCAGTGCACTGACTCAACAGCCCTCTATTTTTTTCCTCAATTTCCATATTCTTGTTCAAAAACAATTATAAAGTGGAACGTATTTGAAAAAACACACGGGCCATCTAGTGCGAGCGGGCGAAACACAATGCATACCTAACTAGCAAATCTATTGAAGAGCTTGGGTGCGCATTACTAGACGAGGGGAGGGGAATGAACGCGGAGATCATGCGAAATCTGTTTACAACAAGCCTAATATATTTGACACAGGAGCGTATGGCTCTGGACAGACTGACTACTAGGTGTCTTTTGATTGGTAATAATTTAGCACCGGCATTGTGTTGTAACTGCAGGATAGATTTTATAAATTATATTTCGAAGAAATATATTTAATTCAATAAAATATACTTTCTCTTAATATACTGCGGAATGTTCTTGATGTCTGTAATGGGGCTCGGGAGGATTATTCACGTCCCATGACTTGAGAGGTGAAAATAGTAGTAAGTTTTAACGAGAGATTTCGAATTGACGTTAAAAGAGCTAAAATCATTAGAGTTTCTTAGGGGACGCGTTACGCATGTTTACCAAAGTAAGTTAAGCCCATGGGAAAGGAAAATACCAAGAGAGTGCTTAGAGATCATGAGGAGAAATAAAGGTTTTAAATGATAAGAATTCCTTTATTAAGCATTTGTTATGGACATCGAAGCGCAAAGACGAATTGGACGAGCATGACAAGTAGCTAAAGGGTATCAACATTTAATAATATTCAAAGGTTGAAAGTTGTGAGACATCTCGAATTATAGGTGTACCCATTAGATGACATTAATGAGGCATAAATCCAAAATTATTTGCATCTATATATAGCATAAGAGTAAAATATTTTACTTAAAATGTTCCTGTCGACACACAAAAGGAAAGAAAGAAATATTAGCTACAAACTGGCCTAGTGGCCATGGTCTTGGACCCGTAGCCGGCATTATTTTCCATCAATCGCAGCTTCGAATCTTGATACTAATAAAGACAGGCCGATTAGTGAAGCTTATTCACGTTAAATCTTGTCGAGTTCCGAAGTCCTCCCTTTGGGGTAATGTGGAAGTTTGGAGAGGAAGGTGTCAGCTCAGGTGCCGTCCTTGTCACTTGATCCAGGTTCAAAATGCCGAGGTCCGTCTCCAATAGGCATCATGTTGCGTCTCAGTGCAACGTTAATAAAACATTCACATATTGATTGCAAGCTTTTTGGACAAAAAAAACCCAATTAATTTTCTCGAAAAATCTTACGTTATTAAACTTTCCCCGGTCAACTTTTTTTTAACTCTAGAATGTTTTGATATTTATGTTTATTTCTTAATTAGATCATTTATGAAAAGAAAAAAATGTACAGATCCTCGCATCTTTTAAGCGATATTTTAATGCATTATAAAAAGAATCTTATTTAAAAAAACGGAGAAAAAAGATTGAATAATGGAAATAACTGAATCACGAGAGAGAAAAGCTTTAAAAGCCCCTTTTTTGCTTTTTAAATATTCTCTGTGATTTCCTTTATTTGATTTATTTTCGTTATTTAGTTTGTTACGCATTTAGATTGATTTCAAATAAGCTTCCATTTTTGTTACGCAAAAAGACTGAAAAGAAGAAATTTTTATCACACGTTTTTGCATTATTGCATTTGGGAATTTTGTGAGAGTTTGCTACAGTGAATGTTACAGTCAAAGAGGAAAAATGGAAACATCGATCTTTCATTTCAGCAATTTTTAGTGTTCTTTTTTTAAATATTTAACTGTGTTTCCGGGAAAGAGACACATAGAATATTTCACAGAAGGAATTTTAAGAACACTCACAATTTTAATTTTCAGAGACCATCGCGTGAAATAATGAGCAAATGTAATTATTTTTCAATTCATGTTATTCGATGATATTAAAATTCGGTTGATACACGAGTCTTTCAAAAAGGGCGTGAAGCAATATTTTGTAGACATGTGATTAGTTTTTTTTACATATTAAAACTTGTTCAGAGTAAAAAAATCACATTGGAAAAAAAATAATAAAATGTAACTTAAAAAATTGCTATAAGTTCAAAAAAATAAATTTTTGCATGATTCCTTTAAAAATATAAGAGCAGAAGCCCTCAGACATAAAAAAGTTAACCTTAAATATACTACACTTAACATGCTATTCTGTACAAGGGGGGAAAACTCATTGATATACATATATAAGAAGGGGGGATACATTTATAAGAAGATAATCGTTTTTGTTTATATTAGCTTTAAGATGTGTAGATATAGTTATAGCTTAATTGCTTTTTTTTTCAAATTAATAATAATAAATATGTTAATCCTTTCTCCTTTTTCTATCCAAAGTATTTAAATTTATTGCAGCTTAATATAAATATAAATGGAAGCATAATATTTAGATATTTTTTTTTAAATCGAAGTTTATACAAATTCTAGTACCATGAATGATAAAAAAGCTATTCTCTTTTTCTCTGTGATTCGAGTGGCTTCAGTAGCCTAGTAGTAATGGTCGCGACCTCGTGGCTGGCGGTTTTCGTCGAGTCGTGGGTTCGAGTCTTGATGCCACAAAAGACTCTCCGTGTAGCCGGGTCTGATGCACGTTAAATCTATCGAGGCTCGAAGTCTTAACAGTGGTGTAGTGTGGAAGATTGGAAAGGGAGGTGCCAGCTCAGGTGTTGTCTTCGTCACTTGCCAGCAGTTCCAAATTTCGAGGTCCGTTGCTAATAAACCTCGCCCTCGTGTTGCTTCTAGTGCGACAATAATGAAAACAACCAACCAACCAATCGAGTTCGATATATATATATATATTATTTATACATATATATATATATATATTATTTATATATATATATATATATATATATATATATTCAAGAGACTCCGAGGGACTCTAGAAAAAGTTCTCAATTTTCCAAGATGTAAATATCAAAAATTATTTTATAAAATAAAGATCTTAGAAAATTTTCAAAATACAGATACATTTTTTAGATGTTAAATTTAAATTACACACACGCACACACACACACATACATATATATATATATACAAGGTAACAAAGCGTTTTTGTAATGAAATGAATCCAGCCCCCTTTTAAAACTTTGCTTCGAATGGAAAGGCGAAAAGTTTTATGTTTTGGGGAGGGGGGAGAACATTTAGTGATTATGACTTTCTATCAGCTAAGTGGAATCAATTCTTATCTCCAGAACTAAGGCCTGCCAAACGATTGTTGCGTTCTAAAAATTTTGGAGAAATGGCGCTGGTTATAAAAATTTATTTAATAAAAAACTAACGTTGACCTCCTGCGAGTCGAGAGATTGGAATCTTTATGAGAAAGCATAAAAAGAGTCTTAAAAGTTTCAATTTTGTGGAAGAAATGGAGCTCGAATCGAATAAAGCCTCGAGGTGTTTACAAAGAGGCTCGGGCTTCTTTTTTTTCTTTCTCTCGAGCGCCACTTAATAACGCTTTTAAAGAAAAGTAATTGATTTTCCACGATATTTCTCACAGACAGATTTT